TTTTAGATTTTTTATATTTTAAAATGAGATATTTATCATTTATTTGATTATATTTATCCGTAGTTAGTTACACGAATTCAAACATAGAGTTTTAAGAAGTTGTACTTATGTATTGTAATCTTGAATTTTAAGTAATATACATCAATATACAATATTTTATACATAAAAATTAATTTTTAAGAATTTTTGTCAAATATTTTATAATATAATATAAATATTGTAAAAATATATTCATTCACGTGCGTTAATATATTCATAGACAAAGACATTTGATGGGACGAGGTCCACACATCAGAAACTATCTTATCCTCAAAATCTGCCTCACCCAGAACGCTTTTCCACACGATTTCCTTATCCTAAACCCAAGTATTACTATATATTTTAATATTTATAAATTATTTAATTTTAAATTAGAGTAAATTACAATTTTCATTTTGAAAGATTAATACCCTGAATTTAAAAATAAATAAATTATCGAACTGGTTATTAGTTAGTTAATGTATCTTTTTTTGAGTTAAAAAATGTAGATAATCAATTTTTTAAAATATGTTTATTTATTAAAATTCATTTATTTTAGAGTAATTGATATAACTAATGTCTCACATAAAAAATGCTTGAATGATGCAATTTGGTTCGGTTCACATAGAAAATGCCTCCTTCTATTGACTAAATGGTCTATTTAATTTGTTATTAAATTATGATATTTAGTATTAAATGTTACAGTTATTTATTTTTTTAATAACCAAAAAGTAAATATATAAATAAAGCTTCGAATGAGAATTATGTAAATTTTCAACTATAAAAAATCAAATTTATTTTCACCGACGTATACACAAATTTATTTCAAAGAGTTGCTGATAATTATTACATTTGTTAAATAATAATAACGATAATCATAATAATAGATTTGTTAATTAATATATTGCATATTTTGGGGGCTGGAAGAGATTTGTTAGTAAAGATTATTTATCTTTTATACTTTTGTAAAAAAAAAACTATTTATCTTTTATATTTTTACATTAATTTGACCGATTTATATTTCAGACGTAAAAACTAACAATCTTATTGATCTAGATTCAGGACCAACTCTTATAAATCAGAAGTGAAATCAGACTTCAGACTTCAGTATCTTTTAAAAAACAAATGTCATGTAAGAAAAATAGGAAAAAAAAATCAATTTGGAGTTTTAACATACTTGTAGTAACCACGTTAGTATTAAAGATGAAAATGAAATAAAAATGCAAACCCACAAGGATGATAAACGTAATTAGAAAACTACAGAGATGAAAATATAAATATTTGACAAACCATAAGGACTAAAATTGTAATTTACTCTTTAAATTATCTGATTCGATGGTTAAGATGTTTTGGAATAATCATATTATAAATATACATATAATATATTGAAAATCAGTGAAAATCTATATAATTAAAAATGAATGAGTATAAAAAAATTCAATAAACTTTAGTGTTTAAAATAATTAAGTTTTTTTGGACTAGTTTTTAGAACAAATAAATTTTTGGACATTTTAAAACCTGTTAAATAACTCGAACTTTCTAAAACATGTTAGATACATCCTTATAAAACAGGTTAATATGGTAAAATAATGAAAAAAATCTGAAAAAAAGTCAATGAAATTTCATATTTTGAACGATTAAGTCTCTATATATTTTTTGAACTAAAAAAGTACTTACATCTATAAAATGAAAAAAATAAGGGAATCTGAATTCTATCAAGCGTTGAACGGGATTTGCTCAAGCAGTTTCCATTGCGGTTGGTTCTACTGAAATTTATTTTAATAAAATTTTTCTGTTAGTGAATTTTTAAATTAAAAAAATAAGAAAGAATTTAAAAATATTTAATGATTAAATTTATTTTAATTAAAAAAAAACACATATTCCGTATATGATTTGCTCAAGCGATGAGTTTTAATTAATTATCTATTTAGTTAAATTTTATCATTAATCCGTCAGTAATTTAATTAAATTATTTTCAATTCTTTCAATTTGAAAAATCATCAACAAAATATATTTTATTTGTTAGTTAAAATAAATTTCAACAGTAATCATTTTTAAATCATTTTTTATTTTTTTAATTTGAAAAATCACATACAAAATATATTTTATTTTTATTTAAAATAAATTTAATTA